TTCACAAATAAAATTATTATTTCTTTACTTCTGGATTCCATCAAATTGATGCTGGCTGAATTGAAGGTATGTGGTTTTGGGTCTTATTTTGAATGTTTGATCTTTTTGTGAGAGTGTGAAAGATACTGCTTCTCTCCTTGTTGGTCACATTTATATAAATTTCTGTTATCTATTTGTCTTCTTGGATTTCAGCTAGGTTAACTTCATTGTTCTCAGCAACATGCTTCAAGACTCAATTTTACACTTGGTGGCTTTGGGGCTACCTTCTAGATCAGCTCCCTAGGACCCTAGGACTTTTGAAGTTCTGAGGTGACACAGACTATAAAACTTAGTTTGGTATGTCTTAGTGTGAACCCAGTATGGTAACAGCAGATAAAAGGACAGGATTCAGAAAGACAGAAGATAGCAATTGATGTTGCATTTAAATTTTTGACAATCATATGTGGCAGGGAAGTAACAAACCAGAAGAGAGTTCCACAGATGAGAATTGAAAGGAAATAAATTATTAGAATAGTTGGTTGCATCTAGCTATTTTAAAAATAAAAAGATGTGACCTGTTTGCTAATCTAGTAATCCATTTAAATTCATGTGATCAATGTAACAAGGTGACTACCAAGAAAAGAGGAGTATGGTGACGTAATGGATAGCAGCTTGGATTGAGGAATCAGCAGAAATGAGTTTGAATTCTAGTCAAATCCATTACATTCATTTATGTGCTAATACCCTTGGGAAAGGTATGAATCCTCTTCTTCTCCCCCCAGCTATGGGTAAATAGCAGGACAGACCGGGTTCTATAGCCTTGGATAGCAACTCATCTACTGCAGAAAGAAATGGCAACCTACTGCAGGAAAAAATCTGCTACATCAGTCATATATTGAAAGATATATAATTGCCTAAGCATGTATCACGCATGGCACATAACTGACTGACTATGAAAATATTCATACAATAGGCAGAGGAAAGTATTAGGGAAGTTGAGATGCCAGATCAGGACAGCTAACATTACAGACTTTTCTTTGGATTTTGTCAATAATCTCAAAATTTACAGCAAGAGCACCAGACCATATATAGTAGCAATAGTAAATGCATGGATGGATGGTAGGTTTATAAATGTGCAAAATGGATTCTGATGAGAAAAATTGTCAGGTCTGATACAGTGAACCCACTTTCCTAGCAGCAGACCTATCAATTGATTCAATGTAATCACTCCACTGATTACATATAAGACAACACTGGAATTACTGAAAGTATATTTAAATAATAAATTTTAAATGAATTGAAATAAATTTTAAATAATGAGGTACTATTTCCATTTCCATTTCACATGGGAACAGAAACAACAAATAAAATAGTAATTAAAAAAAGTCAATCAAGTACTACTGATCAATGTGCTAATTAAGAAATATCAATTATCAGAGGTTTGTCTACAGGGAAGAAAAGGAATTTTTGCTTTTCTTACACAGGAATTTATAATAGCCTATTTACTGATTACATTAACACTTTTTTCTTATATGTAATGTCCCTTCAGGATTTAGGCGATCATGGCTCTCCCCAGATAAACTATGGTATGCTGTGACTTCTTGGGAAATATAGTAGAGTGGTTTCCTGTTGTATTCATCATAGTTTTGACTTCAGTCTGCTCGTTCTCCTACACTGGTTACTATCCAAGACTAGAGAGCTGTCTAAACTGCCATTTAACTTATAGCTGGGGAGAGAAGAGATGGATTCTTGCCTTTCTCCAGGGCATTAGTGCTAAAGTGAATATAACAGACTTGACTGCATCTAGAACTTTACTCCTCTCCCCACACTGATGACCACTGTGTTATTAGAACATCCTCTGCTTTGATTGAATAATTTAATACTTAGTCAATAATAAATCTAGCTAAGGCATTCCTTGAAGGTTTTTCACAGGTCTAAATGAATGAAAACCTCTAGATTAACGTTAAGCTTTAGAAGTTAAATTGGATGGCATAACTATGGCATTTAGCTATGTTAGACCTAAAATTTGTTAAAACAATTTTCAGCACTCAACATGAGTATTATTTGCTGAAAAAAACATGGAAAAATCTTGCATATATATTGGAGAGGCTTCAGTTTTTTTATCACTACCTGCTGCCTTTTATGATAAACATCTAAAAAAAAAAAACTTAGGTACCTTGACAATCAGAAAGAAAGAGGTTTTCAGTGGTCAAGGTGGGATAATCCTAAGAGACCTAGAAGTCTACCAGGATTTATTATTGGTGCACACAATTTTAAGAACATCAGCTGCATATCAGGTGACTGCATCTTGATAGCAGACACAATGTAAACTGCAATAACTCCTAGACAAAGTAGTGAAGAAGAAACTACTAACCATAAATCTTGTTTGAAAAGTTTTGACACTGCATATATGTCGTGCCTTGACAATCAGAAGGAAAAGGGGTTTCAGTGGACAGGAATTAAGACAAGTGCTGGTGACAGGACAAAGCTAATGATTGATTTTACAAGCACCTTTTTAATGGATTAAAGCCAAATACATAAACCCATAATTATCTCCTCACATGCTCTCTGTTGCAGTCTCTCTTATGCACCTCTCCTATCTACACAAATTCTCAACACACATTCATACACTCATTTCAACACAGAAACCTATGCATAATCTCAGAAAATGGGATTCAAGATAAATTTATTTCCAAAAAATGATAGATATTTGTAAATTTTTCAGGAGAGGAAGTTTTTTTGGTAAATATATCTCCTAAAATGTCTTTTCTTTTAACAAGACATTTCATTATGGAGTCATATAAGCCATTCTAAATTCCAGATTTGTCTTACTGGGGTTTTTAGATTTCCCAAATCTAAAATTGCTATTGAAAGGGAGGAGAATTCGGAATATGATTGAATGATTAAAGAGAATGCAACATGCTGATGGTGACCCTGAAAGGGGATTTGGGAAATTGTTTTGTACCTTGAAGAGAATATCATGATATATTTTTAAGGTCCCAAGGGTGGGGGGTACTTTGAATGGGGTGAAGGTATAATTTTATTTAATAGGCTATTTTAATATATTTGTTTTATATGCATATAATGCGTACCAAAATGCTTCCTCAGTGATGTCTATTTTGGGGATGTAGAAAGTTTTGGGTATTCATGACATCAAACATTCTTCCCCTGGGCCATTTCTCAGCTAACATTCTAAAATGGTTTCCACATGATTACAAGAATTGTAACTTTTTGTGCCTTCTCAAATGCAATCCATTTTATTCATTTCTGTTTATGAATTCTGATCAATTGGGATTTGTTTATTTATGACTTTTGGTATTTTGGTCAATCAAATGGGAGTATTTCATTTGGCCCTTAACAGTTATTTGAAATACTCATTCAGAATGGTAGTCATCATTTTCAGCCAATGAGAAACGTAGTTTTCATTTGGCTCCAGACTAATGTCTATTAAAACTATTCATTTATTCACTCCATTTTGGATTTATCTCTTGTTCCAAGTTAATGTATACATTTTAATTTTGTCAATTATTATTAAATCTAATAAAATTTAATGAAATTAATATTAAAATGCTAGATACATTTCAGTAGACCACATGAATTGTCGTCATAGCAGCAGTGCCGTGTTTAGGGCAAGACAGCCTGATGTATCCCATCTCACATGCTTATGAACTCCCTTTCATATCTAAACCTATGCATAAACATGCATAAATTCAGAAAATGGGTTTCAAGATATATTTATTTCCCAAACTGAGGATAGTGGATATTTCTAGATTCTTCAAGGAAATGAAGCTTTTTGGTAAATATAACACCTGCAGTTTATTTCATTATGGAGTTATGTAAGTCCCTTTAAATTCAAAATTTGACTCATTGTGATTTTTGGCTTTTCCCAAATCTAAAATTACTGTTCAAAAGGAGGAAAATTCCGAACATGACTTGACATCTCAATTATAGTTGCTTTTCCACCACTATAATGTGACTTCCTTCTGTATTTTCTCTAAATATTTTCATGGCAATTGTTCTAATGAGCTTTGATTAATGGTACCACAACCACATTACTAGATTGACAACTAGGTCTCATCGTTTTACTATCGAAATAGGTAGATATAAGTGTAAGTTCTATTCTAATAGTATCTTTTATACTGTGGAAATCATTTTGTTTTCTCTCCTGCCACTTATGATCTTCAAAAATATAAATGCAACATCAATCACCATCTTTTGTCTCCCTGAAAACTGTTCTTTTATTGTTCTTTCTCCTCACTAAAGTTTTCTCATTCTCTTTCACTCTCAGTAACCTGTTACATCTTAGTGGCATTATCCCCTTGCTTGGGGTGAAACAATTTAAAAAAGTATTGAGTTTAATGATTAAAGAGAATACAGCATGCTGGTGGTGATCTTGAAAGAGGATTTCAAAAATTTTTTGAAATGCAAAGAGAATACTATGATATGAATATGAAATCCATAGAGGAGTTACTTTGATGGGAACTAAGTCATAATTTAATTTAATATGCTATTTTAATGTAATTAGTACTAAATTTAATAAAATTCAATGTAATTAACTTTATGTAAGTAATATTAAGAGGCTGTACACATTTCAGGCTGACCTAGTATTCTTATATTGAGTTCTAAGATACAAGATAACCTGCTTGAAATCTGGTTTTAAATTCTCTTGGCACTCTGCATATATGTTGTGCCTTGACAATCAGAAGGAAAGGGGTTTGCAGTGGACAGGAATTTTCTCTTGGACAGTTGTGATTGACTGAGTTGTTTTTCTAGGGCTTATCACACTTTTGTATGTTCTTTAAAGCCAGAAAATATTCTAGATTGTAAGATTTATTTTTTTGAGATAATAATATTTTACTGATAAAAATCCTACTAATTAACACATAACTGAAGGAGATGAGGTAGATCCATACCTTTCCCAAGGGTATTTGCATATAACTGAATATAAAAAAACCTTACTTCTTGCTTCTCCAATTTCCTATTCTAAGCTCTTATTAGTTACACGACTAACACATCCAAGCTTACTGTACCTGGTATTTCCAAGCAGTCACCCATCTAGGTACTCACCGAGCTCAATTTTGCTTAACTTCAGGGATAGTATGAGAACCAGATTTTCAACATGATATGGCTGTAAAAGAGGCAAGAAAGCCTAGTCAGTGCTGCTATTAAAGTACTTTTCCCTTGAGTATTTGTACAAAAGTGAACACAACTAACTTGGCCAGGATTTGAACCCAGTTCAACAAATTCTTTCCATCAGTTGCTAACCATTACATTACTTACACATCCTGAACTTGTATTACAATGGATATAATATTTTCTGTGATCAGTTCAATGCACAAAGAAATCTACTTTCTCTAAAAAGAGATTGAGAAATACACATGATAAAAAAAGAATTTTCCTGCTTTAGCCTCGAGTTGTCTTTTCAAAGTTATAATATTTAAGAAAAAAATTCTGTTTCCAAAAGAATTAACTTATATTCCTGCCCAACTTTTCTGTCTTTTCTCCTACTTTATGATCATTGGCAAAGTATGCCAATTGCTCTGAAAGTAATGCCTTCCATTATGTGTGACACATTTTTTCAGGGGTGAATACCAGTCATATGACAGCAGAAATTGAACCTTCTTGTTGATAATCCATGATTTGCTTTGTTACAGATACAAGCTAAGAAGTATACTGGCAAAATGGTGTTTAGCATGATAGTTCATACTATGTGCCTATTGACATATACTGACACTTGTTGTATATTTACAGAAACCAAACAATGGATGTCAGCACAGTTAGGCAGTTGACTGACTGATGGATTCATTTTTTTATGGTTTACCAACACTTTGATGATTATTTAAACCCAGAAAATATTATTACATTGTAAGAATTTTGTTTTAGAGATTATAATGTTTTAGTGATACAATCACTTCATGTGAATATGCTACAACAATGGATGACAATTAAGAAAAAAATAGTGAAATAAAGACATTAGAAAAACAGACTCTGTAAGGTTTATAATTATAGTTGTGGTAAAAGTTTGAAATTAGAAGGAAATTGTTGTAACTCTCATTAAATAATTTCATTGTTTATTGACTGATTCATTTTCTATGGCTTGTAGGTTATTTAATACCAGAAGATATTTTTAGATTGTAAGAATTTTTTTAGACAATATTGGTTTAGTGATATAAGTCTTACTAATTAACCCATAGCTGGGAAGAAGATGTGGATTCATACCTTTCTTAAAGTTAATTGTGCATAAGTGAATATAATGAACCCAACTGGAACTTGGTTCTCCGATAAACAATTCTGAACCATTATCCATTACACAATCTGCACATCCGAGCTTACAGTCCTCGGTATTCCAAAGCAGTCAACCATCTAGTTACTGACCAGGCTTGCTGTTGCTTAACTTTTGTGATTATACAGAAGCTGGTATTGCAACATGATGTAGACATAAGGCTTGTTAGGCAGGGGTTAATGTTTTCAGCATTAGCAACAACAACATGCATAACAAGCCACATTTCATGCAGCCTTACACTGCTGTCCTCTATCTCTTTATCTGCTCTAGTGGTAACTATATCTGAGAATGGCATTTTGTAGCTGAAAACTCACTTTATCCAAAGGTATTATTGCTCTCTTGCTAACTGTTTCAATTTCTTCGGTAGCAAAATAGAAGACATTTCTTTCAAAGTGCTCCTTTGTATATGCTATAAATTTATGACCCTTTTATCAGATTTAAAAATTGCTCCTTATATATTTTTCTTGTCTTTGCTTTTTAGCTCTGACCTTTTAGCAGAGACTAATAATTTAATGAAACATCTCTTTCTGGTGTCGTCTTTTTTTCGTAAACATATTCCAGTTGACAGTTGAAATATCTCATAGCACTTTGGATGCTACCCAGTGTTTTTGATTTGGATTAATTTCATTTGTTTATTTTTTTTATAATACTATAATTAAATTTTCATGGGAATTATTAATTTTCACCAAAACATGAAATGATGAGAACAAACTTTGAAATGTCAGTGAAAGCATCAATTTCCTTTTTAATAAAATACTAACTTTGTAGATATTAGGTCATGTGCAATGTTAAGGAAATCTTAGAAATGTCTTAGAAATTTATTTTGCTATTCATTCTGCAAGCAGTTAAAGCCAATATATCATTTAAAAACATTAGAAAAATTCAGATGCTGGGAAAATGAGTTTTGCATTGAATTATGGGAAGGAACTTTGATCTGTGTTTAAACATATCATCCGCTTCTTGTACAAGATAGTTACTGATGATGAAAAATGTGTTTCATGCAAGACACTAAACAGGAATAATTAAAGCTAGATCACAGAGTGCCTTCAGCTTTACAATCTAAATGGGATATCCTTGGGAAAATGTTTTGTGAGATTCAAAAAGAATTCTTAATTATGAATTGCTGAAACATGAAGAAACTGTTAGTAAGCATTGCCACAATGAAAGATTGGCTCATTTGGATGACAAATTGGGAAAAAAGATATTATTTTCTGTGTTTGGAAAGCCTCCAGTGATTTTGCTGTATTGTAAACCCCATCTTTATGTTATAGCAAATAATCATAAAGCTGGAATGGGAATTTCTTCTGCAGGCAGCTAATTCTGCAGGCTTGTCACCTGTCAACCATATTCTGATGCATGAAATGGCATATTTTTTTTGTCTGGGTATCATTTATAATAAGTTTGAGATATTGAAGAATTTCTCAAAAATTAATCAAATTAAAATCATAATTATTCAATTATGATGAAATATGCATTTTACCAGAAATATTCTGTAAGAATGTTGAAAAGCGAGAGAAAATAATTTGAGGAATGAACATGAAGAAAATGTTTTGCATCAGCATACGAATATATAGTAGAATAAAAAAAGAGAAAAAGGAAAATTAAATAATAAAATAAAATGGCTTGCACTAGGAAGAAGTTTACCGATAGAATTCTCCCATTTTTTTAAAATACTAAAATTCATCAAATACAAGGCTCAAGAGCCACTCGAGTTAGAGTGTTACTATTAAAATGGTAAAGGTAAATGAGGTATGTGATATAAATGAAAGAGGAGGTGATAAGAATTGTGAATGATGAGGAAAGGGAGGATAGATAATAATTGACCTTTGACTTGAAGAGCATAAGATTATAATGCTGGAGACTTTGTGAAACAAAGTAGAAGTTCTTTGGAAAAAGCACTCAGAATGGAATTGTCCTCATACATTTGGATCATGGAAGAAATAAGGGTGATTTGAATCCATTGAATTGGCATGGCATTTTATTTGTGAAGGTCTGAAATGGTGAAGCTAAAGAATGGAAATAATGTGTACATTAGCCATGTAAATAGCAATAAAATAGCTTGTAATGTTGTTCTTATGAGAAAGACACTGCAAGGAATGAGAATAATTCTTCCTCAAAAAAACTGTATAAAGCTTTTGAATCTTATTAGGGCTGAAATGGTTTGCCTGAATTAATTATAGGTAGAAACCTATAATTAATAGAGGATTTTGAAAACATATATATATATATATATATATATATATATATATATATATATATATATATATATATAGAATTGTTTAGAAACCAATAATTAATACTGGATTTTATTTTTATTTTTTATAATTAATGCTGGATTTCATTTTTATTTTCATAATTAATACTGGATTTTATTTTTATTTGTATGATTGATACTGGATTTTAATTTTATTTATATGATTAACACTGGCTTTTTATTTTTATTTTCATAATTATTACTTGATTTGGATTTTATTTTGATAATTAATACTGGATTTTATTTTATTTTTATAATTAATACTGGATTTTATTTTTATTTTGATAATTAATACTGGATTTTATGATAAGCATTAATGCGTTAGTATTGGCAAGGTCTAAATATCTACACTATATGAAATAACAAAATTTAACATTAAATAACCTGGAAAAGGTTGGTGTGCTATAAAAAAAAAATGAAACCAAGATTGTTTGGATCTCAGCCAATTGATAAATTATCTATTTTATTTATTGATGAAGTAACAATGATTTGTTTAATAAGAGCAACTGGATTCTGAAAAATAATAACAGAAAAACATGGTGGAGCCTATGAATAAAAAACAACATTATTGAATAATGATAAAATTTTATCTAAAATCTTTAGAAAAAACGAAAATGATTTTATTAATTCCTCCCATTTTATCTCATTTTATTGTTGTTGCTTTTTATTACAAAAAAACTTTATTATTATTTTACTATTAATTTTAATCTACTTTATTATTGGAGCTTTATATGACAATATTCTATATCAATATAATCTTTAATCATTAAAGTAATGTGATATTGTAAATCCTGAAAATGATTCTGATGAAATTTGGACTCATACACTGGGGGCCCATCTTCCACATAATCACCTCAATCCCTTTAGCCATAGAAGTTGCAGTGATTAAGCATCTAGCAAATCCTTTTTTTCATTCTTGACAGAAACTCTCTTTTACTACTTAATAAGAGATTTATATTTTGAAATTTTCTAAAAATTCTATTTTTAGAAAATTTCAAAATATAAATATAAATAAATTTTTATTATTATTATTTTATTGTTTGTCTTAGTCTATGGTTTTATGGATAACAGCACAGAATGAAGAACTAGCAAGCAGAGTTCAGTGTGCTAATAACATTGAGAAAGGCATCAATCTATCTTATCTCACAGCTATGAGTTAAACAGCATAACTTGCATCTGGAAAAATGATTAGTATTCTTAAAAAAATATTACTTGCAAAAAGACATAAAGAATTATTTTTACAATCCAGAGTATATTTTGGTATAAATAACCCACAAAAGATTGATAAACCTTAAAAAACAAATCAATCAATCAATCAATCAATCAATAATCCATCCCAAGTCAGTGATGTGTATGTAGCTTCAGGGTTATTAGCTTGGAAAGTTGTATTGGTGTGCGAAGTTCAAATCCCAGCAAATGCAACTGTATTTAATTTGGCACAAATACTCCTGAGAAAGGTATGAATCCATCTAATCTACCATCAGCTATGAGCAGGGTAGACTGAGCTCTCTACTTTTGGTTTGTAACCAATCTAGAAGTAAAACTCTGAATTCAAAACCAGCTGTTAACTGGGGCAAAAATGGTTTGTTAATTTC